CCCCAGGGGAACTGCAGGGACCTGTGCCTCACTGTGCCAGGCAGAGCCTCCTCACCATCCACTACTGACAGAAGTAGGCAGTTGTGTTTCAAACCTAAATAAATCACTTAACAACAGGACAACATACTTTCTAACATGGCTAACTCACCCTGAGTGGAGGCTGCCATAGAAAGATGAAGCAGAGACTACTCCAATACAGAAGCCTGAGCTCTTGAAAGGATAAAGTAACATTTACTTCAGCTTTATCTCACCTCTGACAGCTTTAACTTGTGTACATTTTTCCCCCCTCTTAGATGGCTTACTGGAAAGCTGTAAATCTGCCCAGGTTCCTGTGGTACAGGTTGTAATAACAACTACATGAGGTCAAATAACCAGAGGGGAAAAAATAGGCCCCAAACCACTGGCTAAAGCAAACCTGACAAGTTATCAAAAATGTCTAGATACAATACTGAGTTTCCATACTTGGCAAAAAAGAACATAGGCAAGAATTGCTTGTTTGGTAATAACTGCTGAAGTTTTTCCCTCCTTTGTGTCCAGCTCCTCCATGCAACTCTGCCATGGGTTTTAAATGCATGCCATGTTCTGGAAAAATTAACACTACCATAAACAACTGCTGATTAAACAGTATGAATACATAACCAGCAATGTTCCTCACCCAACTCTGGGCTCTCACCTTCTTAGTTCAGCAGTTTGCTCTCCTATATGACACTGTTGTAATTTTAAAGGGTGAAGGTACCTCTGAAACCCCGTGTGGTTGATAAAGGAGATCTGCAGGTTTTAACCAAAGCAGCTGCTCCTGCTCCTCAGCCTGTGAGCAGAGAAAGGGGAAGACACACAGCTTTTCTCTGAACAGGAGAAGGCTTCTCTGCATGTCACTCCTCAAATTCAGTCGTACTGCACAGGTGCATCTGCTAAAAGTCATGGGAAAACAGATGAACTAAAAAGCAGTGGCAACAACACCATCAGAAAGAACTGTGATTTCCTGGTGTAACTGCTAGCCCAAACATTAATTACATGTTTTCTAGATCTAGGTTCTTTGTAGAATACATTTTGCCTGCTGCTCCTGGTTAAGTAATAGAAATTCTGTTGAGAAAGTGTGAAATAAAATTCAAAGTGAAATGATCTACATTTCACCTGCAACACATTTTGAGCCCGCAGCTGAGCCTCAAGCAAACTCAGGAATCAGTATTACAAAAGTACCCAGTTATTGTGAGGTTTTGTTTGGGTGTTTGTGGGGTTTTTGTGTTTCTCCCTTTCCCCTTCTCTTTTAAATGCCACACTGGAACTTAGATGGCAATTCAAGGTGGTAATGATGACATACTAAACACCCTCAACCAATTCAGTGCCACTTCGTGTCTTATAAAGAGCATTCCTGACTTGCTAAAAGACAGTATTTTCAAGTGCAAGAGTAATGAGTCAGGGGCATGAATCCAACCTTGCAAAAGCATTATTTTCAAAACTATAATACACACAAACACACCAGCAAAAATTTTTTCACATAGTAGAAAGCATCACTTGCCACATACTGAATTGGTCAAGCTGATAAATGAGGCATGATACTCAACACACAAGCCTAAGTACATGTTGAGAAGATCCTAAACTTTATTCAAATTACAAACTTCTCTGAAACGTACCATCTTGTCTACATTAAACTTGTCAGATGTCTTGCGATTTGGTAGCTAATGCATTCCAACGTCATGTATTTAATGTACTCCTTTGGCCAGACAAGGCCTTAGAACCAATCCTTTGGGATTAGCTTGGCAGCATCCTGTCAGAGGATCACTCAGGAGCTTACACCGTCCTTGCTTTGTGTTGTGACCCGTAGTTTTGATTAGATTTCAGTCTCCACTACCCAAAGTGATACTCATGACCCAGGCGACAAAGCCTGCTCAGTAACACGAGCTGTCCAACACAATGGAGTGAAATGTGGCTTTGCAGATACACTCCTAAATGATGTTCAAAATAAGGCTAAGAAAAAGTTGACAGAATGTGCTTCAAACACTGCATTTATTACAAAGGTGCATAGAGTTTATGCCATTTGGTTTGAATACTTATGTTTAACCTACAAACAACATACAAAGCTAGGATACAGTATGGAACAGAAGCAACAATGATTATCTCAAATTCAATACAATATTCTACTGTATTTAATTTCACAAAACATTTCTGAAACAAAGGCACTTACAGAATTAAAAAATAAGATATACTCTTTCAACATTTAAAGTTGCAATTCCATTCCCCCTCCCCACGGCACTGTGGATAACTAGTTTGACATGAAGGCAACAGAGATTTATGGGTCAACTTCTCCATCTTTTCTACACCATCCCATTCTCTTAACTATATGAAACAAGCTTCAACAGGTTGCAGGGTAACAGCCAAACAAAATTTGGTCCTAGACTTTATTGCTAATGATTATTAAAGCACTAACAATAAGAAAAGATCTGATTAACTGCTCCAATTGTGAACTGGAGTATTTTCTCTCAGAGTTTTGTAACTGAATTAGTAATGCTACTGCTAAAGTTGTTCCTTGTATATTAATTATGCATCCCTTCACTTACTACTAGCACATGTCCACTGAAGGAAAGGTGTCAATTTTCAGGCTCCTTAACCCTATTCCTCATCTCCTCCCACTGCTACACAGACAGCAGTGGGCAACTCAGGGCAATCTATTTGGTCTGTACAACTTCTACACCAAAACTTCAGATTTGGGAACCTCTGTTACTGCTACCACTTTCCTTTTTATTACTGTCTCCCTTAGGAATGATGACTGAGCCAACTTCTCAGGAAACAGGAGATTTTCCTTTCCCAACCCAGAGATGACACTCCCAAGACTGCCAGGACTTGCATGCTCTGTCACAGCAGACGGGGGAAAGGCAGAGCAGGGCACAGTAACAAGCCCCTGGAGCCCCACACTGCAACACTGTACCTGTGCTTGAGCTGCACAGCAGCTGTGCTCACTGGCTGCTCTCCCTGACCAGGCTCCATGCAGGCAGGAGGCTAACAAAGGGGCTGGAACAGTCCCTGCCTCCTCCTCCATGAATAAACACAAGGGGTAGGATCTATTGCAACGGATTTATTTCTGCAGTTATTCAGTGCCCTCCCACACAGAAACATTCCAGATCTCTAATGCAACACTTCATCCTCCATACAAGAGACACTATCCATCTTTGGTTGTTCTCACCTAACAGTGCCATGAAGAATTGCCTAATTTGTCAGCTGACAAAGCAGGAAAGAGGAGGAACACACAGACACAAGATACATAGATACATGCTCTGTGAGTGCCTCTTGGCACCATTTCATGCTTAACTTCAACACTCAGAGGAGTGTAACAGAGGGGCATAGGCTGTCATGAGTCTTAATGCTAAAAGCTTTCTACGAGTTTCTTCTGAAATGCCCTGAAAATTTTCTTTGAAAAGTAAACGGAATAATCCAGAAAGAGACTCAAAAATCAGGAAAAGAAACAAGGCTGCCTTTGAGAGCAGCAATTTCCATCCACTATGAGGTAAAAGAATGTGACCATCAATGTTTTTCAAACTAATACACTCCAAACATAGAATCACAGGACAAAAGGCTCAAGGGCCTCTCTAAAAACCTAAAATTAGTGTAAGAGATATGCAAAAATTATTTCACTGGTTCTGTCCCAGGGATACATACAACCGATTAGACAGCTCTGTGAGGAACAACAACAAATTGCATTTCTATGTCAGAAAAGACAGAATTGTAAAGGACACTAAAAAACCCCCAACCTTACTTATTTGAGCAATACAAAATGTATAGAGCTAAAAGCCTCTAAGCCTCAAAGAGCCAGTGGTGATAGCCGTGAAGATGCCTCAGGATGTTTCATGACTGCTAGCACTACTTTGTTAAACATCCATTATCTGGCTGGTACCAAATCCTTCCCTTGCCTGACTCCTCACTCCCTGCTCAGCCCTATGGGAATGCTGAACACAAAGGGGAGGTGTGTCGGGCTGGGACTTCATATCACCCTGCACATTGTGATCCCAATGCAGACTGAGTTTATAAAGACTCCAATTCTTAGGTTCCTGCCACCTCCAGTTCCCACGAGAGAGTGGAAAACACTAAGCATTTGAAAACCTCGGTCTACTGCTGACATCCCATCTCTCATGTCAAATGAATTCCTTCCCTGTGACGAGTCAGGACTGGATTCTGGCAGGTACTTCTGCTTAACTTGTGATTAAGGGGCTAATTTTTCTTCCAAACTCATCAACAACAGATGAATGAAATAAGCTTGTCCAATAATAGCTGGAAGAAAAATACTCACCCAATAATTTTTATGAAGAATTTTCAGCTTTTGATCTGTTTCGTCTATTAAGTAGCAGAGAGTTTGCACTTTTTAATATCTAGCTCTGGCACCCAACGAAGGCACAGTTTTTAAGCCTTAAAATTGGGACCGAAAACAAGGAAATGACCAACTCATGCTATTTAGAACTAGCCCAAAGACAACTAAACATGGTTTGCTACCCCTTCCTACAGGCAAATGTGTTGCAAGAAAGGAAAATTCCCTTTTGAATGGCAAATGAAATGTATCATATGGTAGCTTACCTAGCAATAGTAGCTTCAAAATGAGCAGAACATACATAACATATATCAGGTAGTTTCTTAGAGGTTTTGATTTCAATACTGTGCAAAAGGTTGCTACAGCTTTGGGTGTTTGACAATGCTCATGAGACCATTCCTTTCAAAATTATTGCACAGCAAATGTTATTGTGGTTCTTAGTTCTGAAGTACTCCTTCATGCTTTCCTCATTGTATATAGAGCAAAATCTCTTTTTGTATCTGCATCAGGTATAAATGACCAAGTTCTGCAAGAAACATACTCTTTCCTCAGAGCATTAAAATAAAAAGAGAATTAATTAATGTTCACTTTACTTAGACAAAAGATTCTGTCTTCCAGGAAAATATATGACAGTGGCACAGTGTAAACAGCACAAATCATACTTTAATACATTGTGTATGCAGGAGCAGAGCAGAAGACCTGTTCAGTAGGTGGGCTTCTGAGGGTCCATGTATGCAGGGTTGTAAGGGGGCTGGCTGACTGGGTAAGGGGCTCCAGCACCAGCTGCAAAAGCAAAACACAAGAAACAGATCTGCAAAATGTCCATTCTGAATTTTACATATAAAATGGCAACTTCTGTTTCAAGCACGCTTAGCTAGCATCTGACCTGGACTTGAGAACAGCTTGTGCTCACTCAAAGCATTGACATGGCAGAAGTGAGATCACAAAAACCTTTGTTCTTGAGGGTTTGGGTTTTTTTTGTTGATGCTAAGTGTACATGTGTATTATGTCAGCCACAAGGGCCTTCTGGGGAGAACCTCCTCTAAGGAACAGATCTGGTCCAGAAGAAGGGACAGTGGAATCAGGGGTGCACAACAACAGGATATACCTGACAGTGTTCCGAGAAAAAGTAGACCACTGGGCAGAAGAAAAAGGGCCAGAGAAATCATCTGAGGACTCCTTCAGGGAAAAATGCTTTCCTGGAAGTGTCACAGAGTTCATCAAAAATTAAAAAGCAAAAAGGTGTCCCACTACTACTGAGCACATTAAAGAGTTTGACTTATGTACTAGATGCATCTCTCAGGAGGTACCCTTATTTTCTGGTATTCTGAGACAAGCTGCTCTCAAGTGGCATCTTCATTTTCAGGTCTGTCAAGCAGCACAAGTTTGTGCATGTAGCACCCGACCAGATCCCTGGAAAAGGGTAAGTGTGGTTATCTTCTGCTGATCTTGTAAAGTGAGCAGGTTTGGGTCCTGTGTGGCAGAGTAGGTATTCTCTCCCTGGCATGTGACTTAATTAGAGGCTGCTCCTTGGCTAATGGACAGGAGAAATGAAGGGAAGAACTCTCATCTTGCAGCATTCTCAGCTGGCAACATGGAATGTGCTTTAGCATGTTCCCAGGAAAAACAAACAACTGTTTTAAGAACTAACAAACTAGCAACAGTTTGAGAGTAGAAGCAAAATGACTAGTTCATTGGCTCCTTGACATGAAAAAAAGAGGAAGCCAAAGCACTTTGGGGTAATCCCATAAAATCCACTGCTTCTCTGGCATTTATAACAGGAAAAACAGTCATCAGGCCTGCCAAGTTAGTGTTTTCACATGTGGGGCTGGTTTGCACATTATTAATGCGCAATTTCTAACTCATTTTCAAATGCTTAAGACCATGAACAGCCATTTTATATTTGAGTGGTCATAAAAGTTTCTTTCTAATGGTATTATCTACTATTCAGGACTATACTTTGCTTCTTAAGCAAGGATGAACTGTGTGATTTGTAATAGGGTTTGAAGATCTTAGGACAGTAAGAGCCTAGTTTTGATCACTCTGAACAGCCAGCAGCCTATTGTTCAGAGAACAGCTGTTACCAGTGGCAGTGGGAATTAGTCACTGCAACAATAAAGGCTGCATGGGCACAATGCTGGGAAAGAAGAAAAGCTGAAAAGATTCTGATAATTCTAACTACATATTGCTAATAAACTTGTCTGAAGTTGCTCAGTGAGTCAGTATTCTCTAAACACAGTGGCAAACGACTAGAAAATTCCATCTGTGTATAGACTGAAATAACTTATAGAATCACAGAATGGCCTGGGTTGGAAGGAACCTTAAAGACCATCTAGTTCCAACCCTCTGACACATACAGAGACACCTTCCACTAGACCAGATTGCTCAGAGCTCCATCCAACCTGGCCTTGAACAATTGCAGACATGGGGAATCCACAACGTCTCTGGGCAACCTGTGCCAGTGCCTCACTACCCTCCAGCAAGCCAATTATTTCTAATGCCTAATCTAAAACTACTCTCTGTCAGTGTGAAGCCATTCCCCCTTGTCCTGGCACTCCATGCTACTGGAGCCGCTGCCAGTCCCACATGCTGCCAAACTTTGCCAGTACAGCTTCAATTAACACCTCCTCTGGCAATGCTTAACACAGATATGATGATGAGGAAATTTCTGCAAGGGTGAATTACAGCATCCACCAGACCTTGAGTTTTACATGATTTGTTTACACTTCCATTAATAAAGTGATAGAAAATAATAAACCTGAGATTGGAGCTGGTTGGCTCCAGAGCAACTGTCTCTAGCTATCCAAGAGCTGCAGAAGCATTCAGTGCTGCCTTACCTGCCACAGTCTCATGATAGGCAGGGGGTCCCGGCGGCTGCATGGGGTATGGGGGGGGATATTGTGCAGGGTACGGTGCCACTGGTAGTCCCGGCTGAGGTTGGATGGCCACAGGATGATAGCCCTGATACGAGGTTGGGGCTACTGGGTAGCTGGGTGGCACTCCGGGCTGCTGGGGATAGGGAGCATGAACCACTGTAGTGGTAGCAGTGGTGGTCACAACAGCTACAAGCAAGCAAAAGGAACATGGTTAATGCTGGGAGTTCGAGAAGATGGCCTGGAACAACCAACAACAGTAAGTCAAAAACATTCTCTCTTTGGATCAGTTCCTCCCTTCAAACTCTAGGGAATTTAATTTTCCAAGCCTCACCATAGATTTAGAAGTGTGTGCCTCTAAATTTCCTGCCATTGGGCTCAGTGGCAATGAGACCCTTCATGTGGTGGGATAGCAGCCAACTCACCTCTTGGTTATCAAATACCAAGAGCAAACAATTTTTTCTTGGACTCCTCAAACTCCAGGAACTCAACCATGGAGCCAAGTTATCTATCATTTGGTATAAGACTGGAAAAACTTCATTTCAAAATGTTGTCTGCTGTAAGGGTTAATGTTTATTACACAAGAAACTTCCTACCATGATTACCCAAGTGAGTTTCCTTTTGCATGCTGGTACCCACCAATACATCCATGTGTTAGTATGTCTTTCTCTAAGTAACAGTCAGAAAGGCAAACACATATTTAAGTAATTGACTTTCACAGGAGCTGATGTTGGACGGTTGGGTTATATTTCTTATTGGAATAAGGTAGTATTAACATTTTCTAATTAACTGCAATAATTTGTTTTTTTCTGAGCTCTCATTCATCTTTATGCTACAATTATAGACTGCTGCACTCCTGAGCCGTTGGTGTATTTTTCAGGTATACCTTTAAGAGAACAGGAAAAATGTTAGATATTATACTATTCCCTGCTTACCTAAACAAAAAAACCCAAAACCTCAAACCCACCCCACTGGGGTGGAGGGCATGGCAGGAGAGAACTTGCAAATGCTCAGAAAATTCTCCAAAACATCTCTGTAACTTCACATTCTGAAGCATCTTAAATGCCTATTTTTAACTTCTGAGCAGAGAGGTAAGGCAAGATTGTTTTCACCTTTTATAGGAACAGAGATTTTTAGGGGGGGAAATCTTGTTCAAAGATGTGAAGAAGAGAATAAATACAGAGGTCCTTACGCTGTGGCCTTCGACAGGCTTTGTACAGACAGCAGCAGGAACAGGTGAGGCACAGGATTATAGTGATGACAATCACTGCACAAACGGTAACTCCAATCGCAATGAGGGTTCCAAAACTGCAAGACAGAGACCACCAGCACTGGTAAGAGTCTTTCACACAAATTTGTCACTCCTTAACCTAACCTTCTGTAGTAAACACACTGCTCCTCCTCCAATTCCTAACTACTTTATGCACTGGACTAAGAAACAACTGTGCGAGGCAGTGCTGCAGGAGGTCAGGTCTGCTAAGCCAGGCCAAGCTGACCAACCCCTACGGAGAGGTACATGAAGAGGGCCCAACAGGACTCTATGGTCTCTCTCATTTTAGTGTGACTACATTGTTGTTTCAGTACAACTGTGTATCCCTTTACATATTCCAAAAGCTTACAAAGGTTTCAAAATCACTAGTCTGATGACTTGATTTTCCAAGCCTGCTCTGAACACACAGGTAGGTAAGCCTGAAACAAAGCACCTCAGGCTTTGGGGGGTCAGGGAGTCCTTCCCACATTCCTAACACCTCCCAGTCCCCATCTCCTGACAATCTCAGCACACAACAGGTCCTTGGCAGGCTCCTTGGCATTTGTAAACAGCTGGTTTAGAAGTCACGTTCCACGCAGTCTGGAAGATCTGAAATTCCGCCAACTTTACTGCAACAGCAAGTACGTTAGGCTACTTTATGGGAGACAGAAACAATGCCTAGAACTCCAAAACCTAGTATGGGAAGGTCAAAGACTACCCCAGCTTTGACCTCTGTGATAAGCACTGAACGATGGGATGCAGACAGAAACAGTCACTTCCGGCAGCTTTGAGTTCTATTTACCACACGGGGGAGAAAAGCTGGCACAGTAAAGCTCAGTGACAATTCTCTTTTAAGTGTTAATTCACCTGATCTGTGTCCTACTGTCTGAACTCAATAAAGCCCTTCTTCCATGGAAACCAAAGCCTGCAGCATTTTTATTCCTTAAAGAAATGCACCACGCATCAGTTTTGGAAACAATCACAGGAAGTCAGTTTTATGAACAACAAGCTCTACAATAACAAGCGGAGAGTTGGTTTCATATCCATCCTGTTTTTGCTTCTTGGTAAAGATTTTGGCTACAGAGCCCTCAAGCTTTTCCTGCTCAGTTTCCTGTTAACAGCTTTCAACAAAATGACACATCTCCAGAACCTCCAGCAATTTTCACTTGGCTCTCAAAATGGCATCAAATGTGGAAATTGTTTTTGAGCACCAGTGACACTGGAAGGTTAAATCACTGACAAGAAAACCCCCACAAAATGCTCTGCTCCTAGCTGAAATTTGGAAGGCCGCACGTTGGTCTTCTAGAGCAACTTAACCCTTAGTAAGCTAAGCACTAAATCAACATAAATCAGTGCCAAGCATATATACTCTAGAGTGTGGTTCTGTGTTTGTGTGAGTAAATAAAACAGGTTCCATTTAAAATGCATTTTCCCCTTTAAGAGAGGCTCAACAACAAGAGGAAAAAGCCTGGGTCAAATCTCTTCCAAAATATGAGCAATAATTTTATCTAAGTGTAACTGCATCTAACTAGTGCACTGATTTTTGTGAAGCAACACCATACAGCACTACAGGGTGAATTATGAAGTACTACATCTGATACTGTGGATTGCCTACAGTCACTGCAACTAAGCATCTACATGTCAAACAAGAAGCAGGAACTGCTGCAGCCTCCTGAAGTCACAGGAGCCACGTCAGGAATGCTCCTGGGAAAGCAAACAGAGGATTGCAACACAGCTGTAGGATGTATGGGTGTCAGCATGTGTCGAGGAATACATGCATGTTGTTCCAGGTGTACCTGCACCTTGTGCAGAATGCTTGTCATTTGCTCACCTGCATATGCCTAACCACTGCATTCTAACCACTCAGTTTTTAAGTGCTCCCCACATCCTCACAACCATTAGTTTCACTCCAGCACAGCAAGTTCACAGCTACCTCACCTCCAGCCAAAAATCCCATTTGTTTCAAGCCTGGTATAAAAAGGACGATAGAAGGAGAGAGAAGTGTGCACAATGGATTCATACATTAAACTTAACCATCCTGATTTCAATGTTCACAGGAAACAGCAGAATGCCTACAACACACTGCAGACACCTCTAGAAGCCACATGGTAAGAAATGTCAACCACAATTACTGATACTTGTGAAGCAGCCAACAGTGCTTTCTTCTCTCTTTTCCACTTCTGCATCAACCCTAAGAGAGCTCACTCAATAGGGAACTTGACATTAGTTCCATTACACACAGTTATTCCCAAGCAACATTAGCAGCAACAAAGGAAGAGTCTTCTAGGTTCTTCCTCAGCTTTTTCCCCAGCAAAGGTGAAAAAAAACCCCTTTTTGCTAATAAACTGTGCTAAGGAGAGAAATTCTTGTGTCAAGGGAAGTGATTAGAGCTGACAGAGACAACTAAAATTCTTCACGTCTACAGACAATTAACTTCTGGGAACTTAGCAAAGGCTGGGCAAGATCAGAGAAAGCAAAGAAATGGAGATAAAGTGGAGAAACATTTACTCACCATAAATTACCTAGGACAGCAGGAACCTGGCAGAACCCCCTTATCTCTCATGACTAAAGGCAGTTCTGATATGAGGAGAGAAAACAGCAAATGCCATCTGCAGAGGAGCTGGCCACCAACAGATAAAAACACTGGTCATGGGCTCCATTTGGTTATTTTTAATAACATTCTCTGCTCAATGAAACACACAGCTCATATTTATTACCTCTGATAAGGAACACGACAAAAGCAAAGCTCAAGGAAAAAAACCCCACACCCCTGGATCCTTATTTTCACCAAGTAGTCAGAGACATTCTGTGCATGTGCACCACTTGTCTGAGTCCTTTAGAAAATGACATGACCACAGCATGATGACATCTCACACACACCTTTGAAGAGCTAAATGGAGACACATATTTCAAGTACAGGAGTGCCAGGTGGATACACTTTAGAGTGTGGTTCTGTGTTTGTGCATGTAAACACTGTGATTCAGTTCTACCCACTGAAATACTACAGTCCACAATTATAAGCCTTCAGAAACAGTCCAGTGAGCAAAATAACAGAGAGGAGTTAGTTCTTCTCAGAGTTCTCTAAGGTGTGTAACAACTGATTACTGGCAGGCATTTCTATCACCTACTTCACAGCAGAAGCATAATTTTCCTGCCAGCGCTTGGGCTCATGCAGACTAATGTCTTGGAATAGCAGAAGGTAGTGTGCCATTTCCAGAAAACAAACAGTAAGTGCTACCACTTGTAATTAATGTCAATGTCATCAACACATTCTTTCAACACTGGAGCACTTCAAAAATAATGTTTTTTTCCTAACTATTTCTATTTACAATCAAAACTAGCAATACTCTTTTGGCATCTCTGCCCAACAAGTACTGTTCTGAGCCTTTCTTCTGAACATTTAGTGATAGCCCACTAGTAAAACTACTGAAACAAGTGCAGAAAGGCTACCACTAACAGAAGATGTTACTCAAGTGAGGCCAGAATGGTGCTCAGCATACTTCACTCTGTGAACAACCTGTGCTTCAGGAGACAATACATTCTGGATACTGTATAATGACTCTACTGCAGCATCCTAACTCCAGAGAGCCTATGCTCCTTTCTTGAACAAAAACCGCTCCATTGAATTGCTTTCACCTGATGAATCTGTCTAAAGGACTCTGAAAATATTTGGAAAAACAAGATATTCACATTAAATAGTAATTTAATTACCAACTGTTAGCACTGTACATAAATAACAAAGAACAGACATAAGGGACTGCAGTTTAAAGATTCCTCCCCTGAAAGGTTACAAGAAAGAAGAAACCCAACCAAAACTGCAAGCACATCTCACCCCCTGTGTCCTGCAAACCAACGTCAGAGCACAGAAATCAGGGTGGCCACAGACCCAGGCCAGAGTGCTCTGCTGGCAGCAGCTTGCACATGTGTTTCCAGACTCCCACCTCATATACACCATAACCTCTAAATAAACCACACAGTTACAAGCAGCTTGAGCTCATCCACTGCCATTTCCTGCTTCTTCCTTTTCACACAGAAGCAAAACTTTTGCCAATAATTTCAGAGCAAACAAAATCAAACCTAACAGCAGTTTCACTGCAGCAATGATTAACTGCGACTTCTCCTAAAATGAATGTGAAAGTAACCACGGAGAGACAAGGCCCTGCCCTTTTCCTACACCACCTCTCCTTGCTTGCCCTACTCCCCTCCTACTCTACTCTCAGGTTTTATGTGTAATGAGAATGCTCCACAGACTCACCTTACCTTTAAAGCTGTCTAATTAGTCAAAGTATCTAACAGCTTGCATAAAGGAAGTTACTTCTTCAGGGCCTATTTTACCCCTTTTGGCACTGAATGCAACACAGTGGAGATACTAAAATGTAAAAATCAAGCCCAGGATCTAAACAGTATTATCTGTAGAAGCTGTTAATGTTAGGTATCTTAATCTTGAGAATTGTCTAGCAGGAAAAAAAATAAAGTAGCAAAACATTTTGACTGTATTTAAAGCATTTTAAAACACCAAGTTTCAATTCCAGCAATGTACTTTTAACTTAAGTCAGCAACGTTTGTAGCTCTGGCAAAGGAAGTTTTTGCATGTCTGTGCATTCATGTCAATGGGACACACTCCAAATTTTCTCTTAAAAAAGAAAAGCATCCAAATGAACAATGAGACCACCTAGCTCGGAAAAATTAATTTAAGCAGCCTATTTATTTTGCAGGTTTTGATCTATTCCAAGATTTGTTCCATGCTTCAAGAAACATGTTGCCAGAGTCCTTTCAAAAGCACTGCTGCATTAAAACCCCAAACATTTACAAACACTGAGTTATGGCTGTAACACAGGGTGGTCTGGAAAAACTTCAAAAGATAATTTACGCCATTCCTAAAAGTAAAAAAAAAAAATAAATAAAAATGGAGTCTACCAATCCTCACTGCTCCAGAATCTGTTCCAGAAATGTGACAGAATGGTAAATGTCCAGGCTTGCCCTGTCTCAGGGTGTGACCAAACACCAAACAAGTCCCCAGACAGAGATGCTTACTTAAGACCAACATTTTAGTCACAGA